AGCTGGCTGTTGAGCAATCCGGGTCTCAGCAGCAGGGTGAGGGATGGTACGAGGCCTGTCTGGGCTACGTACTGAGCAAGAAAACCTGTGGGGCCGAGGGACACGGGGAGGCATGTGGACAGGCCAGGCTGGCTGCAGAGCCTGGGCGCCCTGAGTTCACAGCCCAGGCACCTGAGCTGAGCACCCTGTGTGGCTGTGAACTGATCAGTATGTATCAAAGCAATCACAGTGTGCCACCCGACACTTCCCCCCCACCCCCCCATACACATGCAGTAGTCCCAGGCTTGCACCTGGTGTGGCCCTGGGTTCATTTCCCAGGAAGGGTCCGAATAGGGGCATTCCTGGTAGCAAAGCCGTTTTGCCTTCAGGTTTTTAAGGAGTTATTTGACTGCCCTCCAGAAATGCTGTTACAGACCCTCCCTGTGGCTGGGGGCGGGGAGGGGGCCTAGCAGACCCAGGGTCAGACCTCTGGGTTCTTAGCCCTGCTGTGCCACCGGGCTTCCCAACATCTGGGGAGACAGACTGGAGAAGGTGGCCTGACTTCCTGGGCCGGGGAGACAGGTCCCAGCTGCCTGGTCCAATGGCACGTCCTCCCCATGGGAGAAGCCAGACCCTGGTGCCTCTGGCAGGGCCCTGGGAAGGAGGAAGAAGGGGGCCAGGAAGTTGTAGCCCAGGTTGGCCCCACACACCTGGGGCTCAGATCTTGCCTGTTGTGAGTCGGCCAGGCAGCTCATACCCAGTCCCCAGGCTGAGGAAGAAAGGAAGGCTTAGAATCCGGCAAACCGGGAAGAGGAAAGGGATGGCTGAGCACCAGAAGCTGTGTCTGGCATTGGTGATCATCTAGCAGGTTAACCAAATGATAACAATTGTGGGTGTGCTCAGACCCTCTTCGCCCCGCGCTGCTCTGGGCATGGGATGTGCTGTGCTTGTGCAGGCAGACATACTTCCCCTAACAGTGCGAGGCTCCCTGGCTCCAGGCCCCTCAAACTCCGAAGAAGAACCCAGGCCAGCACCTGGGGAAGCTTTCTGCATTGATTTAACCACTGACCCCTAGCCTAACCCTGTTGTCCCAGCCCCATCTAATGATTACCTCTGACCCCGAGAGGCGCCTGCCCCCGCCTGTCCGGCAGGTGACACTGTTCCCCCAGCCCCAGCCTGTGGCCCCCATTCATCCCACAGCTGCTCTCTGGCACCTTCAGCATCACCCTGTGCTAAGACCACTCCTGGGACCCGTGCCCCCCCCCCGAACAGCATCAGGCCGTGGGCCACTCCTGAAGCCACAGTCTGCTGGGAAAGCCAGTCTGCTGGGCGGGCGGCTTGGCTTCCTCTAGGGCCTGAGTGTGAACTCATGGACACATCCCCTGACCCTGTCCTGGGAGGCAAGGAGGAGCTGGTGGAGTGATGGGGGTTAAGAAAGGGGACAGGTGGAGGTGGGGGTTGAGGAGCAGCTATGGGGTTTGTTGTCAGTGAAACAGGCTCCATGGCAGGAATCACCTCAGCTGTCACCAGGGAGGCCCAGTACTCCAGCAGGAGTCGGAGCCTCAATGCAAAACATCCCTAGAGGCCTGCCTTGTGCTGGGCATGGGTCCTGGGAATGTGGACTAAACCCTCACATATATGTCCATCAGGCTTCAGTCCAGGCGAACACAGCCTCATTATATACAATAAAAATCACCCCCCCAGCCAGGAGTTAGACCAGGGGGCAGCCCCCCTCCCCACGGGCCTGGCCCAATAGGCCCTGATTGGGGCAGACCAGCCAAACCCACCCGCGCACAAATTCATGTACTGGGCCTCTGGTTAAAAACTCACAGGTCCAGGTGGGGATGTACTGCAAGGTGGCCTAGTGCCCAGATGCCTACCATCTAAGTTAGGGGTGTCGAACTCAATCAGAGAAGGGGCCAAAATCTAAAATCCAGCCTAAATTGCGGACCGAATGGTTTACTGAACAGTCATAAACTGTCATTGTGATGGAAACGCAGCGGAGTGCAGTGATGACAGCGCGGTGCAGGCCACATTGCAAGGCCTAGCGGGACGGATTTGGCCCGCGGGCCTTGTGTTTGACACATGTGATCTAAATGTTAAACCAAGAGAGGGCTTGGCAAACTGCTCTCCTCTCACAAAGTGATAAAACCTCTTCATCTCAAAAAGATAGGAGTAGACAGACTCCATTGTAGCTTGAGTTGACTATGGCCCAGGCAGGCCTTGGTCCCTTGACCTCAGTCCCCACCACAGGGACGAGCTGGGGTGCTCCCCTTCGTGACTGGCCCGGCCCTGTCCTGGGGCTGCCCTTTCGGGTCCCAAAGTCTGCCGTCTAGAAGGAGGAATGGGAGCATCCTGTGGAGCTCAGCAGAGAGGTGTGCAGGCAGGTTCAAGGTTCCCCCGGGCGCCGTCTGACTTCCTCCTTTATGGCTGGAGACTAAACACCTCAGGGACTTGGTTGCTCTGCACCCCCACAGCTGTGGTTGAGAACATGCACGCCCACATAATGGCAGGGCAGAGGTTCTGGGTCCAGCAGCGTCCTGCAGTCTCACTGCCTCTCTGCCGTCCCTTCCAGGTCATTCAGGCAATGAAGCCTGAACCTTTTGCAGATCTTGTTTGCTCTTTGTAGGTTTAAATGGGACCTGCAACAGCTCAAGTGTCCCCACGTCCACTTCAGAGACACCAGACTACTTGCTGTGAGTACTTCCTTCCGCCTGGCTGCTCTTCTCCCAGGAGTTTCACCCCTGCCTCTCCCCTTCACCCCCTACCCTCTCCTGCACTGCAGCTAAGCAGTGGCAGGACTAAGTCCAAGTCCCTGGGTGCCAGTTCCATCCCCTCAGCTTGTTCTAGGCCAGGCTCTTCCTGGCTGCGGCTGGCTATGCAGCCACAGGTACTCCAGCCTCTCTACAGCAGCCCCTGAGCCCCGCCATTCTCTCCCTTTTCCAGAAAATATGCCACTATCTCCTCCTCAGAGCAGCGCCAGAGCTACAAGAATGACTTCAACGCGGAGTACAGTGAGTACCGAGACCTGCACGCCCGCATCGAGCAGATCACACGGCGGTTCACGCAGCTGGACGCCCAGCTCCGGCAGCTCTCCCAGGGCTCCGAGGAGTACGAGGTAGAGCTCCCCGCGGCGCCCCCCCGGGGAGATGGGTCTGTTCCTCACGGTCCAGCTGAGCCCACGGCCTCCAAACCTGTCTGCTGCCCTTGGTGAGGAGGGCCTGAGCCAGCATTTTGATCCCTCGTGGACTGGCAGGTGGCCGTCCCTTGCTGGTCACTTGGTTCAGGCCTGGGTCTGGGCTCTGCCATGGGAGACGGAAGGCTCTCAGCCTCGTTGGCCTCCTCTGCAATGAGGACATTGGCATCAACTCTGCAGGTGGAACGTGAGCCCCGGAGGCAGGGATGCTTCTTAGAGCGACCAGAAGGCCAAGGCAGGGACACTGGGTTGCGGCACCTGTGTCCTGCCTGTGAGAGTGCCTGGATCCTCTGCAGCCCACTACCCACATTAGGGACACCCCGGCCAGGAGGGGAAAGGCCAGGCCACTGCACCACGTGGCCCCGCTGTGCACCGGCAGAGCCGCAGTGGGAAGTGGGAGGGGAGGTGTGTCCCTGTGGCTTCCACCTGTGCTTATGGCAGGCCTGGCACGTGATCTCCCTTAGCCTCCAGTGGGAGCGCCTGCAGTGGAGGGTCTTGGTCTCCAGCCCTAGAACACCAGCCTCCCTTTTGAGCCACCTTTTAGCGCTGGTCACCTGACTACAGGGCCAACCCTAATTAATCGGGGGTCAGGGTCTGTCTCCACCGGCCAGGCCTCTTTGGTTCCAGAGGAGGAGGAGAGACGGGGACCCTGCGGGTCTGGGACAGATGAGGCCTCAGGATAGCAATCCTCCTTCCTTCTTGCTCCTGTGTGGACATGCCCCCGCATCTCCCTGCACCCCAGGTTGTCAGGGGCCTCTGTGCTTAGCCTTGAACAGTGGACAGGCCAGCTGGGGTGCAAGGAAAGGAGGGAATCTGCCTGATCTTTGGCCCCTCCCCTGTGCTGCCTTGTCCCTGAGCCTGGCCCGCTGCACCTTGCCCCCTGGACCAGCTTCCTTCCCGCAGCCTCTCCTCCTCTGAGCTTAGGTCAGTCCTCAGGGCCGCTGGAGACTATTGTCCCCAGGCCAGCAGTGACTGCAGGTCGTGGGTTATCAGGGAGGCACCTCACCCCCTCACTGGGCGCTTCCTGCAGGTGAGGTCATTGTTTTCTTTCTTTTGTTTTCCTGTAGACTACTCGCGGGCAGATTTTGCAGGAGTATCGCAAAATCAAAAAGGTAAATGTCCACCCCACTGTGGGGAGGGGGTGGGCAGCAGCCTGTCTCCGGGTACCGCCCTCCAGCTTTTCCCCTGCTTGGTGAACAGCCCCTAACGTCAGGGAGAGGAGGAGAGTTCAAGCTTCAGCTGCTAATTTGGCAAGGGCGCCCGCCTCACGGGCTCGGGGCCTGGGGTCCCTGAAGATACGTGAGGTAGCTCCTCGCCCATGCCGGCCAGGGTGATATAGCTCTTGTTTCTGAAGGCCACTGGCTGTGGGTTCGCCATGCCTGTGTCTGCATGCCAGCTGGTTCCCTGCCAGCCAGGCCTTAGCTCAGCCAGGCTTCTGCTGATCTTGCCTCAGACCCGCATCCTGGCCACGGTCCCATTTCCCAGGGTAGGGCCTGGGGCTTGGGAGGGAAGCCAGCCGAGGGCTCTGGCCCAAGGTGGAGCAGGGGTCCCTGTTCCACCTGCTACAGGGCACTGGCCTGGAAGCAGGAGCCATGGAAGCCTGAGGTGGCAGGTAGCTAGCATCTTCACACAGGACAGCTCCCATTACAGCCATGCTCCCCATGACAGTGGCTGCAGGATTGGCTTACACTGCTGCTCTCTTGCAGACCAATACCAACTACAGCCAGGAGAAGCACCGTTGTGAGTACCTGCACAGCAAGCTGGCCCACATCAAGAGGCTCATTGCCGAGTATGACCAGCGGCAGCTACAGCCTTGGCCCTAGCCCCAGCCACAGGGCAGGAGCGCCCTCCCTGGATTGACCTTCTGGATGGCGAGGAAGCTGGGGCTTTGGGGGCGGGGAGAGCTAAAAAAGGGGAAATTTTTTATTTAACAAAATAAACACGAGGAAGACACATTTATCTGAGCCAGCAACGCCGGCTTTCGGGGAGGCTCTGCGGACCTGGCATCCACAGGGCCCAGATCCAGGTGGGGTGTCCCTTTCCCTGAGCCCCGTACCTCCAGAATAGCCCCAACCAGGACGAGCTCCCGGGAAGCCCACCTCTTCGCTGACTGCAGCCCACGGGCTTCAGCTTCCTCTCACCAGAAGACTGGCTGGCTTGCCTGCCTTTTCTAGTTTTATACAAAGACAGCCACTTTTAGCTACTGCTCATGAGACTTGAGTCTATTTTTGTATGAAAGAGAAAGCATCTTTTTTTCTAAACCTGTGCCTCCCCTCCTTGGACGCCCAGAGTCCAGGCGCTGCCTGAGTCCTTTCTGCAGTATTACAGATGCCATGGGGAAGTCGGGCAGGGGGTCGGCCTTGGTCCCCTCTTCCATGCTGGGCTCTGGCCGAGTGCCTGGCGGGGCCCTCTAGGTCCAAGCAAGGGTGGGCTCTCTCTAAGGGGTGTGCAGGCAGGTCAACCCCAGGCCTGTTTTGAGAACTCCAGCTGGCCCCCAGAGCATATGGGGGAGCCCCTGCCCTGCCCCCTATTTCAGGGCCTCAGCTGTTGGGGCTCTGGGGTTCTCTGTGCTACAAGCTCATTATGCAGCTACAGTGCTGGACTTTATTCCATGTTCTCAATTTCCCCTTTGCTGCTGCTTTTTATGTTGTACTGTTGAGACCCCACTCCATTCCTCAGTCCCCTTATGGGTCCTGGGGTCGTCTTAGCAGAGCCATCACGGGGTATGCACTCAGGGAGGGGCTGGGGTTGGTGAGGTCAGGGGGCCTCCGAGAGTGAGCACAGGCTGTATGGATACCCCAATTGCTGCTTAGTCACTGTGCCTAGGATAGTGTCCTCCAGAGCATCGGGAGCCGTGTGTACGTGGTGCCCCGGGCACCAGGGCGTGGAGGGGTCTGAGGTTTGTACATAAGACTGAGAGCCACCTTCAGTGGGGTGCCCCCCACCCCCCCAGGTCACTCACAGCTGTGTGTGGGCCGCGGGGTGTCTCCTGATGGTTCCCAAAGAGCAGGTTCCTGGGAAACCTGCACGCCCAACAGTCTCTTCCACGGCCCTGGGTCAGCACCGAGGAATCTCATCCTTCATGTTTTCCTAGCTGTTACGTCGTTTTTCATTTGGGACACAGAGGGCGAAGGGCTGAGCAGACCCGGGACCCAAGCTGTGCGGACAGCTGTGTTTGTGGACAGGCGGCCTGGCGACAAGGGATGTTTGAGGAGGCCCAGCCCTCTGCCCTGGGAACCTGGTCAGCAGACTCTCAATTGAATTTTATTTTCGTTGTTGTTTTTCTTCCTTTTCAGGAATTATGAAGCTAAGAAAAGTTTTGTGCTTTGGGGGTTGATGGACAAAAGTTCTAGCTGATTAAATATGGTCTTAACTTATTGATAGTTTTTTTTTTTTTTCTTTTTAATGTTGTACTGTGGAGGAAAACTATTTTGAGCCATGGAGTTGGTGTTTACAAGAACTTTTCACTTTTGCCAAAATGTTACAAATGAGAAGCACCCACGTCTTCAGTTTCCTAATATTTTCTTAAAGATCTAGTGTCCTTTTTGTACACTAAACAGGTGAATGCTGATTTTTCAACCTACAATAAATTTCACTGAACTGAATCTAGCAGCCCAGGCTGCATGGGTGTGTTGGTGTGTCTGTCACAGCCAGGTGGCCCTGGGCCTGTGTGGAGCCGGGCTGGGATCAGACAATGGTGAGGGGGCAGAGAAGGCATTCTAGACAGCCTGCCTGAACCGCTGGCAGCGGGTGAGCCTGGTGAAGCCAGCAGGTGGAGCCTGGCCTCTGGGTGCCAGGGCAGGAGGCTAAGACCGCCTGGTCACAGGTAAGAGGAACCAGGGAGGCAGGGCCGTGGCAGCCACAGCAGGTGTGAGTGGGTGGGCTGTGCCAAGCAGGGAGTCCCCCAGGCTCCAGCAGCACCATGTGGGGTAAGGAGAGCACCCTTATTTGGGTAAGCAACTTGCAAGTGGTGAAAACAGTGGTGAGTAACTTTATTGTTAGTTCCTCCTAGGGCTGGCACTCTGGGGTCTCCCTTATGCCGCCACTGAGCACAGGGAAGCTAAGGTCCATTGGAGGCCCACAGGCCCAGGACAGCAGTGGGATTTCGTCCCTGACCCATGTTCCAGGTGAGCCAAAGACGGAGATCCTGGGCTCCAAGGATGGTGGGGTTGGCGGAGGTGGGGGTGTGTTTATTTTGGGAGGGAAAAACAGATAAAGAGTGAGACCAGGATTAATGTCCAGGGGTCAGGGATGTAAGCCTCAGCTGGCCAGCGACCTTGGCCTGCGTTCTGAGGAGGCTCAGGAATCGGGGGTGTGGAGGCGAGGTCAGGTGGGCCTGGCAGGGCAGAGTATGTACCCTGCTCCCCACTGGCCTGGCTGCCACATTCTTCCAGGGGTTAACATGGCCATCCCTGTCTCCACACCCCAAGGCCCAGGCTGACACCTGCCTCTGCCAGCCTTGCCCATAGCACCCCACATCGCCTGGCGCCACCCTGGCCATCACCTCTTTAGTGTGCTGCAGCTACAGGCAGTTGGTTCCCTGACCAGCCTTCCTAAATCAAGGACACCACGAGTCCAGTCCCCCACTCCCCACGGCCCAAAGTCTCCCCCCACGCCTGCAGACCACCATGGCTGAGGGGCTTGATGCTCCCCACCCCCTCCTGCCACGCACTAGATAACATTCCTGATTGTCGTCTCACCAGCACCCAGACCCCACAGCCCCTCCTGGGCACAGGCCCCTTGGGCGCTGGCATGCAGCAGTGATCAAGAAAGCTCCACCTTGCCCTCAGGAGACGGTGGTCTCTGGCGGAGACTGGTCGGGTCTGGAACAGTCCCCAGTTGCTCACCACCTTGCCTCCAGGCAGCACTCGGCTGGTGCTGCATACCCAGCAGCCCTTGCAGTCACCTTCAGAGGGAGGGAGGAACAGTCCCAGTTGCTTCCTGCTAACCTCAGCACTGCCCCTCCATGAGCCCGCCGGCCGGCTCTGCCCCACCAGCCTCCTGGCACCTCCCACGCGCTGCCTAAGAATGCCCGCTTCCCCAGGGCTGCATTTTGGGGCATTTCTCTCTGCACAGTCCCATGACATGTCTGGCCTGGAGGTGCGAGCTCCCTCTGATCCTCCGATTCCAACTGAACGTCCAACAGTTAATTTCTGGGGCTGGCATCACACCCCACAGCTTAAGCTGCTCAGTCCCACAGACCGCCCCCGCCCCACTTTAGACACTAGCCACAAGTCCCCGGCCGCCCTTACTTCTGAACAACTGGCTGTAAATTGGGCTTTCAGACAGCCCCTGTAGGCTTGGTGACTTTCTGGAACGGCTCACAGTGTTCAGAAAACCAACAGCCAAGGGAGGAGATGCAAGGGCAAGGTCTGGAGACCAGCACGAGGCTCTATGCCCGCCTGGTGGGCCACCTTCCCAGCACCTCGTGTTTTCACCCGTGCTCCGTGGGTAAGGGGGTTTTATGGATGCTACATCACTGAGTAAGTCACTGGCTAATGATCAAACCCAAGCTTTGCCTAGGAACTGGGACAAAACCCAAACACTTATACCATAGTCTGTCCCCAGCCCTGAGGCCTGCCTGGGTCCCCACACCACCTTCCTTCCCTCCCCAGCTGCCTCTTCATCTGCTCCTGAATGCACTCCCCCAGGTTTTTGTCTGGGCAGCTCTTCATATCTCTTGATGTCTTCAGATCTGAAGACACTCCTCCCCCCCCAGTAGTCACCTCCTACAGGCAGCCCGCCCTGACCAGCCCTCCTCCAAGCTCCCTCCAGCTGGGGATGCTTCAGTCCAGTGGGTGCCAGCCTGTCAGGCCTCACAAACACCAGTGAGGTGGACCACTGGTTGGTGACTGCTGCTCTAGTCCGTTACCAACTCCCCACACTGGGGCCCTTTGAGAGCGAAGCCTGGGGCCGGGCTTAGAGCTTTGCCGCCTGTCCCCACAAGATCAGGCCCTGACCATGTTTCCTGCGAAAGTTCCCAGCTATCCACCTTCTGGGCCAGCTCCAGTGGTGGAAACTTTTCAGCCAGAGGAGGCTGCTTGTTTTGGAAAGTTCCTGGGGGAGCAACCCCCGCCTGCCCACCAGGTTCCCACGCTCCCTTATCACAGGGTGCTAGCAGGACGCGGTGGTGTGCAAGCCTAGCTCCTCCCCAGCTGGCTGGCTGGGTCCTTCCCATTCCCTTTTCTCCCTCACCCACCCAACAGCCACCCTCCGCAACCTGGCCCTGCCAAGGCCGCCTACCGCTGGGAACCGTGGTGTCCCAGGACTCGCCCCCACTCCCCACCCCCGCGAACCGTTAGAGGGCCCGGTGCTCGGCTGTTACTGAGGAAAGGAGGAAAGAAGGGGAAGCAGCCTGGGCTGCAAGAGTGTCTGGCTTTGAGGTATAGTCCTAGCTCAGTCTTCTGCCTCAGTTCCCCCTATAGTATCTTGAACCCAGGGACACCTACTCTCATAGACTCAGCAACCCTGTTTTGTAACTGGGGCCTGGTGCTCACTTGCAGCCTTAATGCCCTCTTTTGTGAAATGGAGGGAGCTAAGAGGCTGGGCTCCCTCACGGGCTGTGGTGAGAAGTGAATCCGTGCACCCCGTGCTGGGGCCGGGTGGGTCTACAGCCCATGTTAATGCCCGCCAGCGCCCGACGGGGCGGACGAATGATAGCCTCCTGGGCTCTGCGCTCTAGGGCCTCGAACCCGAGTCCAAGGCCACTGCCGGCCCTCCCCCACCCCCTCTCCCCAGCGCGGGAGGAGCGAGAGGCGGGGTGAGGGCGGGGCCGGGGCGCTTTTCTTCAGAGTTCCAGCGCCCTGAGCTCAGCGCCTGTCTGAACGGACTCTGCGCCGGTGAGTGGGGCTCTGGATGGGGTGCGGGTCCAGGGACTCAACTGCCTCTGCGCGCTGAGTGGGGCCCTGGTGGGGTGCGGGTCCGGTTAGGGCGTGGTGCCCGCACGCCAAGGCTGCGGTCCCCGCCAGGGCACACACAGGAATCAATGAGTGCGTAAGTGGAACAACAAATCGATGTCTCTCTCTCTCCCTCCCCCCCACCCGCTCTCTCAAATCAGTAATATGAAAACCAAAGCACACTCGGTTTGTTCTCGTGTCCCCCTGCCCCCAGCTCGCTGCGATGGAGGCTGCAGCGCAGTTTGTGGTCGAGAGCCCCGACGTGGTGTACAGCCCCGAGGCCATCGAGGCGCAGTACGAGTACCGGACGACCAGCGTCAGCCGCGAGGACGGCGTCCTCAAGGTGGGCCGGGGGCCGGGGGCCGGGGGCCGGGGGGCCCAGAGAGCCAGGAGCGGGTGGGACTGCCCAACGTCCGCGGCTCCGGGCTCACTGGACCCCCGCCCGCCCTCAGGTGCACCCCGCAGCCACGCGCTTCACCTTCCGCACCGCCCGCCAGGTGCCCCGGCTCGGGGTCATGCTGGTCGGCTGGGGCGGCAACAACGGCTCCACGCTCACCGCCGCCGTGCTGGCCAACCGGCTGCGCCTGTCCTGGCCCACCCGCACGGGCCGCAAGGTGGGGGTCGAACGGGGCGCTGCGGCACCGGGGCTCCGCCGGAGCCCGAGCAGGAGATTGGCTCCGAGAGGATGGGTCCACGGGGAGGGGCTTCCGCGGGGGCGGGGACTCAGGAGCGAAGCCTGAGGGGGTGACGGGCTCTGGGAAGGTACCTCCAGCGGGGGAGTAGCTTCCACTCCGGAGGCTCACACCACGCCCACCCATGTTCCCACCCCCACCCTCCGCCGCCCCCAGGAGGCCAACTACTACGGCTCGCTGACGCAGGCGGGCACCGTTAACCTGGGCCTGGATGCCAAAGGCAAAGAGGTGTTCGTGCCCTTCCACGCGCTGCTGCCCATGGTGTCGCCGGACGACCTGGTGTTCGACGGTGGGCGGGGCCCTGGGCCGGGGTTGGGGCGGGAAGCGGGGTGCAGAGGGGACCAGCTGTGGGACCTGGCTGACCCTGAGGGTCACCCCCAGGCTGGGACATCTCTTCACTGAACCTGGCGGAGGCCATGCGGCGCGCGCAGGTGCTGGACTGGGGGCTGCAGGAACAGCTGTGGCCGCACATGGAGACGCTGCGCCCCAGGCCCTCCGTCTACATCCCAGAGTTCATCGCCGCCAACCAGAGCGGGCGCGCGGACAACCTCATCCCCGGCACGCGCGCGCAGCAGGTGCAGCACTTGCTCCCGCTTCCGTTGGCCCCTCTCCCTGCCTCCTGTTTCCCATTGGCCCCTCGTTGCCCTCCTTTTGTCCCCGTGCCCCCATCCCGAGGGTCCCGGCCTCTGCACTCGGGGAGGTTAGTAGGCCGGGGCTCCACAGGGGATCTGTACAATCCCCTCCCCCCCAGTTGGAGCAGATCCGAAGGGACATCCGTGACTTCCGGTCCTCCGCGGGGCTGGACAAAGTCATTGTGCTGTGGACAGCAAACACGGAGCGCTTCTGCGAGCTGGTCCCGGGCCTCAATGACACCGCGGAAAACCTGCTGCGTACCATTCAGGTGGGTGCACCCAGAGCGGAGCGCGGTCAGGGCCGGCCCCAAGGACCCCTCCCCTGACCGTCTTCCCGCGCCCACAGCTAGGACTGGAGGTGTCGCCCTCCACGCTCTTCGCCGTGGCCAGCATCCTGGAGGGCTGCGCCTTCCTCAACGGGTCCCCACAGAACACGCTGGTGCCCGGGGCGCTCGAGCTCGCCTCCCAGCGCCGCGTGTTTGTGGGCGGAGACGACTTCAAGTCAGGCCAGACCAAGGTCAAGTCCGTGCTGGTTGACTTCCTCATCAGCTCTGGCCTCAAGGTGGGTAGGCCTGGGGGATAGCTGGTTCAGGGGGTGGGGGCTAATCCCGAGCTCTGGGCTCCGGGGTCGCTCTTCCATCGTGGGGTCTGCAGCGTCCTCACGGGCCTTTGTCTTCACAGCCCATGTCCATCGTGAGCTACAACCACCTGGGCAACAACGACGGGCAGAACCTGTCGGCGCCGTCGCAGTTCCGCTCCAAGGAGGTGTCCAAGAGCAGCGTGGTGGACGACATGGTGCAGAGCAACCCGGTGCTCTACGCGCCCGGCGAGGAGCCCGACCACTGCGTGTGTGGGGTGCAGGCGGGGGGGCGGGGGGCACCTGGTAGAGGAGGGCCGTCCGTGTGACCCCGTTCTGCCCCCCAGGTGGTTATCAAGTATGTGCCGTACGTGGGCGACAGCAAACGCGCGATGGACGAGTACACATCGGAGCTGATGCTGGGCGGCACCAACACGCTGGTGCTGCACAACACCTGTGAGGTGTGGAATGCGTGGGGACGGGAGTGGGACCTCCCCCCCACCCCGCCCCGCCTGCCTGCGCCACCCACCCCTGACCCACTGGCCCCGCAGGACTCGCTCCTGGCCGCGCCCATCATGCTGGACCTGGTGCTGCTGACGGAGCTGTGCCAGCGCGTGAGCTTCTGTACCGACTTGGACCTGGAGCCTCAGGGCTTCCACCCGGTGCTGTCCCTGCTCGGCTTCCTCTTCAAGGCACCGCTGGCTCCTACGGGCAGCCCTGTGGTCAACTCGCTCTTCCGACAGCGCAGCTGCATCGAGAACATCTTCAGGTGCGCCCCCCTGGGGTGCCCCCCTGGGGAGGGGGCCACCCTTGGTCTGATGCTCATTCAGGCAGGGCTGCTCACAGGGCTGCTAGGGGTCGGAGGCCCCGCTGAATCCCCTCCGTCCTGCAGGGCCTGCGTGGGGCTCCCGCCGCAGAACCACATGCTTCTGGAGCACAAGATGGAACGCCCCTGCCTCAAGCGAGTAAGGCCTGGGGCCACCGCCAGCCCCGTGTCTTACAAGAAAGAACTGGCACCACCGGCCCCCGACAGCTGCACTGGTGATGCCATCGGGCTCCCGCAGGATGCCATCGGGCACCCGCAGGTGCACAGCGCCTGAGGCAGTGGCCGAGCAGCTCCCAGCAGCTCCTCCCCCCTGCCCCTCTGGTCCACCCTCCCAGGCCTCCCAGACAATAAAGGCATTGCCACTGTCAGCCACTCCTGTGGGTTTCGGGGGACTGTGACCTAACCCTAACCACCCCCACCTTTTCACCTGGCAAAGACTCACCTACCCTTCAAAACTGTGTCCCAATCCTCAGGGACCTTCCAGAACCCCCCGAAGGTGGGGCTGAAACCCCAGGGTGAAGGATGTGGCTACAAGCCAAAATGAAGGAACCTTGAGGCCAAATACCAAAAACCAAAACAAGTTACATTTATTGGTGGTGCTCACCCTTCCTGTCCGGGGGAAGGGAGGTCCAGAGGAGGCCCCCAGGACAAAGTAGAAACGGGTGGGTGGGTGGGTGGGGGAGTCCATACAGAAAAGAGCATCTCTGAGGTCCTTGCGTTTTTGTTTTTAATAAAATGAGTCCTTCATGCGGGGCCTCCAAGCCTTGACCAGGAGTCCGACTGCCCGAGGCGTGACCTCAGACCCCCCCCCTGCAGACCACCCCAGCCCTTGGCTCTGGGCAGAGGAGGCGGCCAGCACTGGGCAAGGGGCTGCTGCCCCATCACACGCTCATGGTCATCCCGGGCGAGTACTGCGGAGAGACGAGGGGTGGCGCGCAGGGGGGAGGGGCTCAGCTCCCGCCGAGGCTGGGGCCCGCCCCCCGGGGAGAAGGGAGGCGCGGACTGGGTGGGGCATCGGTGGAGAAGGGTAGGAGCAGGAATCCAAGTCAGGGAGGTGAGGCCACCCTGGGGCGGGGGTCACAGGTGGGGGCGGGGTAGGCATGAGAGCGGGCGGGTCGGGAAGGGGACGGGGAAGGGAGAGGATGCCGCGGCCGCCCCCCCACCTGGCCCGCCGCGGTCACGGTCTTGCTCTGGCCCCCCGGCCGCCCCGCCGGGGCCTGCCCGCCAGGCCCCTCCGGCCCGACGCCGCTGCAGGGGGGGAGTCGACGCAGTCGCTTACACTTTCGCTCGGGAACGGGTGCAGGAAAGTCCCGGTGGCCGCCATCTCGCCGTCATCCCGCGGGGTGCCGGGGGCAGTGCTCAGGCCGGCCACGGCGCCAGGGGAGCTCTGGGGGCGGCCGCAGTCAGCGCAGGCTCCGGCCTACCCCCACCGCCGCCGCCGCCGCCGCCGCCGGGAGCCCTGCGCGGCCGCCCCGCACCCCGGCCCCGCCTGCGCGCCGCCCTCACCTTCGGCAGCCCGTCCATGTCGCCCGAGCCTGTGGGCGACAGACACAGGGACACAGGGCTCAGCGTCTGAGCCGGCCACTGACCTTTCCCTGAACTCCACCTCCCCACCCCCTCCCCGCAGCTACCCCAACCCCTCCGCTCAGCCCACTGGGGTCTGGAGGGAGGGTCTGGAGGGGTGTCAGTGCTGGTAGCCACGCGTCCCCATGGTTGTTACTGGACCCTCACCCAGTGCAGCCCAAGTCACTGGGTCGCCCAGAAAAGCTCAGGGCGCCCCCCCATGCCCCTACAACACATGTGTCAAACGCAAGGCCCGCGGGCCAAATCCATCCCGCCAGGCCTTGCAATGTGGCCCGCACTGCGCTGTCATCACTGCACTCCGCTGCGTTTCCATCACAATGACAGTTTATGACTGTTCAGTAAACCATTCGGCCCGCAATTTAGGCTGGATTTTAGATTTTGGCCCCTTCTCTGATTGAGTTCGACACCCCTACCCTACAAGGTGGAGGGATGGGGGAGGTGGAGGGATGGGGGAGGGGGAGGGGGAGGGATGGGGGAGGAGGGATGGGAGGGGAAGGGATGAGGGAGGGGGAGGGGTGTGGGAGGGGTGGGGGAGGGGGAGGAATGGGAGGTGGAGGGATGGGGGAGGGATGGGGGAGAAGGAGGGATGGGAGGGGGAGGGATGGGGGAGGGCGCTCAGTGAGAGCCTGAAGCTAGCAGGGCAGCCTGCGGGGGTGGTGCCCACCCAGGCGCTTACTCACCCAGAGATCCGTTCACGTGGTGAGGTTCCAGAGTGCTCATGGCCGCCATAGGGCCCTCGGGGCCTGGGCCCAGTGGGAACTGTGGCAGAGGGGTGGTGTGGGACTCCGGCCAGCTGCCACCAGGACAGCCTCTACCCCACAACTCAGCACTTACGTTAGCCCTGCCAGCGCCCGGCCCCATGGGGTTCATGATGGTGTACATGTTCTCGCTGGAGTTGGTGGAGTCTGGGGAAGACGATGCAGGAAGGCCTGGAGGTGAGCAGCCTCCCTCAGGCACACCCTTCCCCCCCGCCGCCCTGGCCCTCGTACCTCCAGGGCTGGGCATGATGGGCGTCCCAGGGGGCCCCCCGCCTCCTGGAGGTCCCTGCACACACAGGCAGACAAAGCATGAGGAAGGCCCCTCCTGCCACCCACTGAGCTACCCCGTGTTGGCCCCATGACCCCACTCACCGTGTAGCTGCCAGGGGAGGAGGCAGAATAGGGGATCTAGGGAGAGAGGCAGCCGTGAGCAGTCCGCCAGCTGTTGCCCCCACACCTCACCCCTACCCATTGCCCCACTCCCCGACTCACCGAGTTGCCACTGGGGCTGGCCCACGGGCCGCGCACTCCGGGGCCCCTGTTGGAGAGGGTAGATGGAGCCTAGAGCTGGACGAGCAGTGCTCCTCCCCGCCCCGCCCCGCCCCGCCCCGCGGGCCCCCTAAACGCCAGATGTGGACTTTCCCCCAGCCCATCCCTCAGGGCCTCGGGCCTTCGAGTTCGCACCCAACAGTGGGAAAGGGTGTCCCAGGCGGCTGTGCTAACCCAGCCCGAGAAGCTGGTGGGGGCCCCAGGGCCTTACATGTTCATGGTGGGCAGGCCCGGGCCAGCGAGGGAGTTGGGTGGGGGCCGCATGCCGCCTCCATAGCTCTGTGAGGGGAGAGGGCCCTGAGTGCAGGCCAAGAGGGGAGAGCCCCTGAGGCCCCCCGGCCCCCCCTTACCTGGGGCCCAACGCCGGCCATGCCCCGCGGAGGAGTCACCCTCTGCATCGGGCCCGTGCTCGGGTGCCCTGGGGCGGGAGCAAGGGGGGTGGTTCAGACGGGACACACACTCGGGGGGTTGGGGGGGCGGACAGCGGACAGCGAGGCAGCAGGGAGGGAGCGTGAAAGCTGGGGTCCTGGTGGTGAACACCAGCTGGTGCTCCTCCACTCACCCTGAATGCGCGGGGCGGGGTCCATGGCACCCGGGAGGGAGCCAGGAAGGCCCACAGGAGGCTGCAAAAGGGGCGTGGCAGCAATGTGTGGGCGCCCTTAGCCCCCCAGCTCCTCCCGCCCCCTCCTCCGGTCTGTCTGCCCGCTCTCACCTGACTCGGCATCCGCAGGGTGGGCCGGGGGCCCCCTGAGAACCTCGGGGACATGAAGGGCTGGAAGAAGTGGGCCAGGAGTCAGCACCTCCCCTAACCCACTCCCCCGCCCCCCAAGCTACCTGGTTCCTGCTGTGCCCAGGCCCAGAGCCCGACTTACCCATCTCCAGGCCTAGCCAACTAACGGGGAGTGGCGAGCTCCTGGTGTGTGTGTGTGAGCTCAGAGGAGGGGATATGCGTGGGCAAAGGGACAGGGAGTCACAGTCCTTACCGGAATGTGAGGCCCCATCATGGGGGCGTTGGGGTTTGGGGGGGCAGCTGAGAGCCCAGGGGGCCCTAGGAGGACAGAACCGGGTGGGCTGTGAAGAGCTAAGTCCCCCGGAGCCTGCTGTTCCTGAGGCCCTGCTCGGTGTGGGGAGGGAGGGGAACTGGAGGGGAGGGGGAGGGTGGCCATTCACCTGTCTGCAGGACTGAGGAGTCCCCTCCAGGAGGGTCCCGGAGGAACCTGTGGCTCAGAGAGCCATGCTCTGTGGGCCCGGGCACTGTGCATGCACACACACAGGCCTGGTGTGCAGAGCTCCCATCCCTCCTCCTCCGCAGCCCCACGGCAACCTTCCCTCCAGCTCCAGCCTGCCTGCCCCGGGCTTCCCCCACGGGGGACCCACACCCACCAGCTCCTGTGCCTGTCATTCCCACACATGTGCACCCAGAGTCGCCCCAGCCCAGTACCTGGAAGAAGCCGGGTGCCATGGGGCCGGCTGCCATGGCATCACTGGGGGCGATGCTCCCCATCACAGGGCTGGGGGCGGCTGCCGCGCTCTGCAGGGTGGGGAGCAGGTTTGGTCAGGCCGGTGCTGCCCCAGCATCCCCTCAGCAACAGCCAATCCCCCAGAACAGGGCACCCAGGCCATCTGGCCCTCTGTCCGCGCAGGGGAGGATGGCTGGGGTCCTGGGAGGCCGAACTGCTGCCCCCGTTCCTGCCCCAGCTCAGCACCCTAACAAGCCCGCAGACTGGTGAGCTGGGTGGCTTCGAGGAGGCTCTGCCTCCGGCTGCTCCTGAAAACCTGGAGGTGGGCAGGGCACACCGGGCTGAGCCCAGATAGGTCCTGACGAAGGACGGGACCCGGCGATTCCCAGCCCTGAGCCCCACGCCTGAGGAATGCAGGTCTGAAAATGTCAACCACCCAGGACCCGTGCACTCAGCGTCCAGCACAGGCTGATTCTCTCCGTCTGAATGCACCTCCTCTTGGCAGGGGCACCGTCCCCACCTCCCCAGCCCCTCCCCACGCCTGGCGTCCTGGCTGGCAAGGCAGCTTAGCTGGACCCCCAGCTCTACCCGGCGCACCCCGAACAACAGACAAAGAGCCAGTCAACAGCTTCAAGATGGAACTCCCTCCCCAGGTTCCTCCTCAGAGCAGCTGTGCAGACCGCGCCCCGCGCCCCCCTCCGCCGTGAAAGGACTGGACTCTCTGGGTCCAGTTTCCAGGCCCCCACCCTCTTCAGATGGAGGAGGGGAGACGGCCAGGTGCTGGAGGGCCATTATCTTGTGGGCCAAGGGCAGAAATGCGGGGGCAGGCTGACAGGACTCTTCCTCTGGTCAGGCTTGTCAGCTTTTTGGGGCCCACAGAGCAGGGGATGGAGGGATGGAAGGCTAGTCTACAGGGCACAGGGGACACATCAAAGGATAGGGAAGGGCATGGAGTAGAGAGCACTTTTCTGGGGGCCCAGCCACTCCAGTCTGCCTGCATCATCCACCCTCCCCCAAGCCCCAGGAGGAAGGGGAGCCGGCTGTTCCCCTTGAGGAATGAGTGGAACTGCAGCCGCCTGGGCACACTTCCTGCCCTACAAGGAGCGGGGCCAGGGGCACCTGAAGACATGCCCCTCCCTGAGCGAAACTGCAGCCTGGCACCCTTCCTGCTCCTTCTCAAAGGCCCCAGGCCGGGCGTGCTGGTCAGAGCCTCCAGGCCCAGCACACCTGAGGGCAGGGGTGGGGGAGACAACGCGCTCGGCCCCTGGGGCCCCGCCTCTCCCTCAGGGCCGCGCACACACGGCCCAGTAGCCGGGAGCAGCTCCTCTGGCAGGCACCCGCCTCATGGCTGTAGGGGGCACTTTCCGTGCTCTGGGTCTGTCCACCCGCACTGCCCACCCCGTAGGCACACCAGGCGCCAGAGCACTTCCTGTCAGGGAGGGAGGAGAGGGCGGTGGCGGGGAAAACTGCAAGCAGAACTCAGGACCACAAGGGGAAAGATACGGTTTTCCCTTCACCCCTGTGCCTGCCCAGCTCTAGGCCCTAAAGTAGGGGTGTCGAACTCAATCAGAGAAGGGGCCAAAATCTAAAATCCAGCCTAAATCGCGGGCCGAATGGTTTACTGAACAGTCATAAACTGTCATTGTGATGGAAACACAGCGGAGTGCAGTGATGACAGTGCGGTGCGGGCCACATTGCAAGGCCTGGCGGGACGGATTTGGCCCGCGGGCCTTGTGTTTGACACATGTGCCCTAAAGGGTTAATACACAGCTTCCCTGGATCCCAAAAGCACCAGCCAGCATTGCCAGCAGACTAGCTGGTGTTTCTTGAAGATGCTCCAAGGGCCTGGCGAGAGGGAGGAGTGTGTGTGTGTGTGTGTGTGTGTGTGTGCGTGCGTGCGTGCGTGCGTGTGTGTGTGTGTGTGTGTGTGTATGGGGGGGGGCAGAGGCTCCCTAGGAAGGAAGGCAAGATGTCTCCAACTAGAGTGGGAGCTGCAGGGACCCATCACCCTCTGCACCCCCACTGCTGTGCCTACTCGGGTTCCCCCAGGCGCCCTGCTGCCATGGTAACTGGTGCGCAGAGGGAAGCATACACACACCAACGTGGAGCCTTAGTGTCATCCTCCCCGGAGGCACCAGAAGTCGTCAGACTCAGGTGGGGGCCGGGCAGCGAGGGGAATGGCCCCGAGGAGGGACACAGCCGCAGACCCCGAGCCCCAGGTCTGGCAGACCTGGACACAGGCACGGCCAATGCACAGAGGGACCTGATGGGGCGAACAGCAGTGTACGAGGGGCAGCTTCAGGGACATGTAAACCCCTCCCCCTCCTGCACTCTGGCCCTGCAGAGAGCCCTGGGCTGAGGGGCCATTGCAGAGAGACAGGTGGGGGCAGCTACACCCTGGGAGGCCTGAGGGGAAGAGCTGAGGGCACCAGCTGGGTGCACAGGGAGGAGGGAGGAGAAGGGGAAGCTGGCTGAGTCGATGCCTAGCCCTTGGGCCCACAGCCTAGGGCCTCCCAAGACTTCCCTGGTCTGCCCTTGACCTCTCCGAGGAGCCCCAGGGAAGAGGTAAGGCAGAGGGTTGTCACCGGCACCTCCTGATGCCACCCATCCCTTCAGGTCACTCCTCCGCCAGGCTCTCTACTAGTAAACAGGCCTCTGGTGCTGCCCCTCCCGCCATCAACCAAGAGGGAAACTGAGGCCAAAGCGGTGAGTGAGCAGCCCCAGCCACAGAACAAGGTCAGGAAGGTCTGGGTGCTGTCAGCTAGACCCCGGGAACCCTGGCTCGGTTCCGCCCCAGGAGGTCAGAAAGGCGGGGTGGCGGGGGACAGGGGACGGGGCAGGTGGTGGTGGAGGCTGTCTAGCCTGGCCCAGGGACTCAGTGAAGAGTTCGGGGAGGGACTGGCCTCGGGAAGGTGTGGGGCTCCAGCGCAGTGCAATGAGCCTCCTGTGAGTGACCTGAGGCCCAATGGAGGTCACAGGAGCCCAGGCTCTCAGCCTGCACCCTCCCGCCCCGCCCCGCCCCGCCCCAGGCCCCAGGCCTGCCACCTGCCCACGCCGGGCCCCTGGGGCGGGACTCACGTAGTCCTGGAAGGCCTTGGCCTCACTTGAGTGCTCACATGCCTCTCGGCGGTCGGGTGCTGCACAGTACAAGTCCCAGAACACGCTGTGGGCAGAGGGGGTGATGGTTTTCCCACTGCCTCCCCCGCCCCCTCCCCTGCCTGCCCACGCCAGCCCCACACGCACCACCACCAGGAATGCAGGAAGCCTGGGGGCTCCCCCAGCGTGATGTTCTTCTCCCATCGGATCTGCACGGGAGAGGGAAGGCCGGTGAGGAGCCGCCGCCCGCCTCGGCCAGGGAACAGGGGCTGGGACCAGCGGTCCGGAGCAAGGCAGCTGGGAGGGGACAGCTGGCACAGCCAGGGCAGGGGCGCGGAGAGCAGGCCCTCTGTGCCAGCCGCCGAGCCTGACCCGCCCCAACCCTCAGTCCCGGGGCCTTCGGCGAGGACACCTGGCACCACCGCTGGAGCCCTGACTGGTGCCAGGAGGAGAGGGCCCTGGGGCAGGCGGAACGCAGGGCCAGCTTACCTCAGACAGAAAGGTCTGTGCGGACTTCTGGGCACCGATGTGCAGCAGGTACTCGTACACGTACAGCGCCAACCTGCAGGCAGGGGACGCGGCTCAGGCTCCTGGGAGGCCCGGGTCTGGTCAGCCTCACACCCGCCCTCAGGGCTCCTGGGGGGCCTCTCAGGCCAGGCCCCTGCCTTCAGGTGGAGACCAGGGGCAGGGGCCCCCACTGAGTCCTCATTGCACCCACCCCCAGCCTCACATTAGTCCCCCAAATACCCCATCGCCTCCACTCCTCACAGGAGGTGGCCTCCCCCTAGTTTCTCAGCCTGGCCAACTCCTACACATCCATCAATACCCGGACTGCAGGGCCCTCCTCTAGGCAACACTGCCAGCAGCCCCGACCCCGCATTTCCAGGCCCAATCCCGGTCAGTTCAAGACCCTCGTGTGGGCCAAGACCCCAGAGCGGCCTTGGTCCCGGGAGGCCTTCTGCAGGGAGCAAGGGCTCCTGGCTGCCTCTCCTGACTGTGCGCTCCCCGGGGCCTCTCAGCACGCACCCCGAGCCACGCTCAGCACCCGCACCTCCCTCCCTCCCAGCCTTGCCTGCGGAGGAAGCAAAGGCCCCGCTTTCCTCCCAGAGGCCTTCCTCCTCCCGTGTCCCTGGGCCCCATCCTCTTCCTGGAGACTCTGCCTGCCAAACCTCCGCACCAGCCCCCAGGAAGTCTGGGGCCCTGTGGGCGGTGAGATGGGGCCAGCAGTTCCACTCGGCTGCCGAACACCCACAGTGCTCGGTATGCCCCCTACACAAACGCAGCAGCTGCCACCCCAGGAGCATGGGCCACTTGCCAGCAGCACCCTCTGCGGGCCACACGGGAAGCCCGGGCCTCCCAGGCCTCTCCATCCTCGGCCTCCACCTCTGCGTCCTCCCGTCTGCCTTCTACACCAGCGGGCAGAGGGGCAGGATCCAGCCCCGTAGCTACTCCAAAGCCTTCCACTGCACTAACCATCAGACGCCTGACAGCTCCAGCCCTCCGTCCTGCCCCATAGGCCTGCTTTCCACTGGGTCCTTTCCTTTCTTCTTCCGTCAGTCCTCCCTTCCTCCCTTTCTCTTTCTTCCTTTCTTCCTTTCCTTCCTTCCTTCCTTCCTTCCTTTCTTCCTTTCAACAAACATTTGCCCAACACCGCCTTGTGTAGCAAACACTATAGACCCCTGCCCCCTGGAGGCTACCAGCCTGTGAGGAGGAACAGTGCAGCAACAACACAAGAGGCACGTTACAGGGTCAGCTGGAAGGCAGTGTGCCCCAAGGACGGACCAGGGGGATGAGCCGTTCTCTGAACCTGGCCACAGTCCGCACCGCATCACCTCACCCTCCTGGCAGCGCCTCCAGCCCAGGACTACCGCCCCCCCAGCCCTGATTCCGAAGCTGCACCCTCCAGCAATCTCCAGCGTCTGCCCCTCTCCCTTCCTCTCTGAAATCAATAAAAATATATATATATTTAAAAATAATAATAAAGGCCCAACCTCAACTTGCCCTGACCAGTTTCCCCCACCCCTGCCCCTGCCTCCCACCTCCACTGTGTGGTCCAACCTGGATGGTTCGGCCTTGGCTCACAGAGGTGTGGTGCGTACTGTCCCCTGAGAGCGAGATGGCTGCACTTATTAAATGTGGGTAAAATCATAAGGAGAAAACTCTCCTGCCATCTCTAACACACACCTGGTCCAACACCTGGTCCAGGCCACCATCTCTTACCTGAATTTTGACAGGACCCCCCCCCCACACACACACACACACAGAGCATTCCTCACTACACCCTCTGGTGCCCCCACACACACCGGCCACCCTCTATGCTAGGCCTTCACACAGGCCACTTCCCTGCCTGGGGCTCTTCCACCTGGAGACCTGCATGGCTCCAATGTCACCTGTCAATGTCACACCTGACCTCCGCCATCTTATTTATCTCCACCTGACACATTTAAAAATATATACTTTATTGATTTATTTTTTATTTTTTACAGAGAGGAAGAGAGAGGGATATAGAGTTAGAAACATCGATGAGAGAGAATCAATGATCAGCTGCCTCCTGCACACCTTCTACTGGGGACGTGCCTGCAACCAAGGTCCATGCCCTTGACCGGAATCGAACCGGGGACCCTTCAGTCCGCAGGCTGACGCTCTATCCACTGAGCCAAACAGGACAGGGGCTCTTGACACATTTTTTGCCAATTGCCTGAAGCCCCCATAGAAATGTAGCTGGGAGGGCAGGGACTTGGTCTCTTTCCCTCCCTAAGCTCACGAGGGGTGGACTGAGACGGGCAGTGGGCACTGCTTCGATGTTAAACGTATGGGGTTTTACCCCAAGAGCAGAGAGCATCAAGCAGCCGAAGAAGGTTCTCGGTTTTGCTCAGTTCTCTGAGTGTTGGTACTTTAAGTTTTACCCGGACAGAGTCTCAGGGAGGAATTCTGAGCTGTTTTCTTGTTTTTGGTGAAAAGTTGTGAAGCCGGGACATTTGGCCAGGTTGTTCCAGGACCTCTAGGCAGGACTTCCGGCCTCTGACCAGCCAGGTTCTGAGCTCGGTCATCAGGAGGCTGGGTCTCCTGAGCTGAGTCCTGGAGGCCGAGCAGAGGCGGTGGACACAGGGAAGCGTCTGGAAAGGGCTGGAGAAGAGGAGGCGTCTGGGAGGAGGCTGGGAGGAGGGGGACGAGGGGGGGCACTCGGGCTGGGCAGGGCAGTGGTGACACAGCGATTTGTTAAAGCCGTGTGGACTGAAATGCAGCACCACCACCGTAATTCCCAGGAATTACCGTCATTATCAGGAATTGGGTAACAAGTGCTCCCTGCTCGGTGTCCTCCTCCCCCCTTGAAGCCCATGTTCTGGGGGCAGTGAGAGACCAGCTACTCACAGCCTTGTGTCACCCCCTCCCCCACCCCATCTAATGGACCAGCCCGTTCTCACTGATGCCCCCCAAAGGGGTTCTCCAGCCCACGCATTTCCTCCCTCCTCTCTGTCACCTCAAAGCCAGGCCTGCAGCTGTCTCCTGCCCCCTCATCAGCCTCTGGGGGCTCTGCTGCCCACAGCTTTCCTCCCACCCAGTGACCAGGGACAACCACCCCCTTACAAATCCCATCCCACCTCCCGCTCCTCCCAGACGCCTCCTCTTCTCCAGCCCTTTCGCAGGGGCTTCGCTGTGTCCACTGCCTCTGCTCGGCCTCCAGGACTCAGCTCAGGAGTTTCCTCCTCAAGAACCTCTTACCGGTGCCAACAAGGATGCCCACACAGGGTTCCCCTGGGCGCAGGGACAGACACACGGGCGGCTGTCACGTGCTGGGCTGTAGACAAACTCTTCGTGGCTACGTGCCACCTCAAAGCCAGCCCCAGGAGGAAAACGCGAGACGCGCAGTAACACCAACCCCGGCTGAGGTCCTGGACCCATTCTACAGCCGCTTGGCAGGGCCAGCGTGCTCGAGACACACACACCCCGCAGACCTGGACACTTCCCCCCGATTCACTCCTCGGAGGCAGGAGTGGAGCAATGCAAAGGGGACAGACAGGCCTCCAACTTATCCCTGCCACCGTCATCCCTAAGCTAAAAAGACCCAGGCCCTGGCCTGTGGGGCTCAGTTGTCTGAGCGTTGTTCCATGTACCAGGAGGTCACTGGTTCGATTTCCGCTCAGGGCACATACCCAGGTTGCAGGAGGCAGCCAATGGATGTTTCTCTCTTCCCCTCTCCCTTCCTCTCTCTCTACAGTAAAAAGAATTATAATAATAATAAAAAAGTGATAATAAAAAGACCCAAAACCAACTACAGATGCAAACACTAGCTCATTCCAGGTGGCAGCCATCCTGGGCCTCACCACAGGCTCGCAATGTTTACTGTTTACACGACAGGCTGGGCCTTGATTCAAGGAGCCCGCGAGGACCCCAGCCTCCCTCCCACCCCCCGGCCGCCCCATCGCGGTGCTTTTAGACTTTGCTGTGCATCCCTGAGGGCAGGGGCCCACGGCAGAGTGTGCTTCCGAGGCCGTCTGACCCGGCTCCCACCCTGAGACAGGATCAGAAGGAAGGAGAGGAAAGCGCAGACCAGGAGAGCCAGGGACCTGAGCAGCAACCCCTTCACTCCGTTCACAGCGGAGGAAGCCGAGGCTGAGACAGGAAGTGGCTTCGTTGCTGGCTGCCTGTGCAGGTCCTCTACCTGCAGCCTCTTACCCGGGCCCTGTGACAACCCTACAAGGCCCGCATTTCAGAAGCAGCCAGTCCCCTCTCCAGCCTCTCCCTGAGCTTGGCAGGTCACTTCCTCCCCAGGCCCTGGCGCCCCCTTTGGTGAAACAGGGGCTGGAACCATGTGGTGTTTTCCAAACTTCCTTTCCCAGCAGAACCCCAGCTCCAAACCAGCATTCCCCCAGGACCCTCTGTAAGGCACAGGTGAGCACAGGATGGCTCTGGCCAAAGGGGAGGCTGGAGAACAGGGGACACGGCATCTCTCGCCTCCACAGGAGACGTTTCTGCAGATTCCCCCATCTCGGAGACCCTCTGCTGGCAGGCTAAGGAGTGAGGGGATGATGGGGGAAGGGACCAGGACTCAGATAACCTCAGCCCTGGCCAAGAGTCAAGGCCAGGTTCAAGGAATCAAATCTCTGCTGGGATGACTGATGGGATTGAAACCCAACTCCCAGCCCCACTACCTTCAGCTCAAATCTCTGATTCTCTCCTTTCTTTGCTCCCCGCACAGCCACACATAAGCTGCCATCATCAGCTCTTACCCAGGTCATTGTGCCCACCTCCCCCAGACCCCCTGGCCTCTACCCCTGACCCCCTATAAAGCCACCCTCCACTTTCACACACACAGGCCCCTCTGGCCTACAGAGCCAAGGACTGCTCCCTCCACCCAGGGCACCGCCCGGCTCCTCTGCCAGGCCTCATCCCAGGGCCTTTGCACCTGCTGTGCCCTCAGCCGCCTCCTCTTCCTCCAGGTCTCTGCACAGGACCTCACACATGACTGTCACTCTCCTCCTCTGCTTTCTTCATAGAATAAATATCTTGAGATCATCCCTCTCCTTGGCCTCCCATTTATTTGCCCAGGTAACTTGACACCTGCCTCTCTGCTAGAATGTGGGAGTCTTCAGGGCTGGGGCCTGCCTTCCCAACTACCACACTTTACCCACACCCCAAAACCAGTGTAAGAAGATGACCAGGGACACACCAGGACCCCCAGGGACGGGGTGGCAATGCCAAGACATGCCCTGCTCCCAACCTGGGCAGGAGCCAGATGCCAGTTTCAGAAAGTCTTTGTGCTTCAAGGTGCTTGAAAACGGAAGCCAACCTCCAAACTGTGCGGATGGGCAAGGAAGGCCTGAAAGGACAGTTACCTGCCTTAGCACCTTCTGGTTAGATGACCCCAAAGTTGGGCAGAGAATGGACTTGTCCTTGAGGAGGGGAGGGGCGGTCCCACTGTCAGCTCCGGCAGAAGTGCAGGACAAGAGAGGGGGCAGCCAGCGCACACCCAGGGCTCCTCACCCCCGGCCTGGCCCTCGAGGAGCGGCATCAGGGACCTCCTCTCCGTTCTGGCCGCCTGCTTCCCAGCAAGGCCGCTCTAGGCGGCTGGGTTTCTTAGGATCCTGCGACCAGGCCACTGGCTATCAGCCACGGGAAGCCTTCCCTCCTGCGGGCACCTCTCCCTGGCACCTGAGCAAAACTGCCAGCACTGGGTGCCCTTGCTGGGGGAAGGTCGCAGCTCCGAGCACCTTTCAAGTTCTCCCCCATCCTGAGAGATGGCACTGATGTAATACTTTTGCATTTCTCTGGAAAGGAAACAGCCTAGGCGAGGGGAGCACCCCAAGCCGCAGAGAGATGGTAGGTGGCAATGCCAGCTCCAGGCTGCCGCCATGCCCCAGGCCGAGCTCCCGGTTCTGAGGGCCACCAGCCCCACCCGCAGGGTCTGGGAGTTAGTCCTCCTCCCAGCCCAAGAGCACCTCGTATCCAGGCTCCGACGCCACACCCAGGTAAGAGGAGGGGCTCCTGGGTCCGCCGCAGGACTGAGCCGTGTGGCTCCCAGGGGGTCCCTCTCCGCTGCCAGGGTCCAGAGAGGCCGGCCAAGCGGTCCTGGAAACTCCCCTGGAGGATGCGGGAAGCGGAGGGGGTCGCCATCCCGCGCGCACGCGCGGCCGCAGCCTCACTCGCTCAGGGTTCAGCCGTCGGGGAGCTCCCCGACCCTCAAGTCCGCTCGGATATCCCCCACCCCACCCCAAAGTCACGCCCTCGGGTCCCGCGCGTCCCCGCAAACCTCCCAGTCCTTCAAGCCGCTGGGGCGTCTCGCACCCCTCGAGTGTGGCGCGGCCCCCGCAGCCCCATCAACGCACCGCCCGCCCGCCCCCTCAACCCTCACCACTCCGTGCGCCCCCAGCGCCCCCCGAGGCTCCGCGCCCCGCACACCCTGCGCCCCTCGGGTCTCGCGCTCCCTCGCAAGTCTCGCGGCCCCTGGACGCACTCGGGTCCCTCACGTCCGGCGGCCCGCGCCCACGTGCCCCTCGCAGCGCGCGCCGGCGCGGGGCCCCCGGAACCCCCGGGGCCGCGAGCTCCGCCCCCGGCCCCGACTCACTTCTCCCGGGCCTGGCTGTCGGAGGGCACGGCCGCGCTCTTGCCCCCTTTGGCGTACATACTGCTCCGCGCCGCCGCCGCCGCCGCCGCCGCCGGGCCCACACCTGTCAGGCGGCGCGGCGGGCCGCGCTCGGCGTCGCCATAGCTACCCGCGCCCCGCGCTCACCGCCCCGCGCCCGGCGCAGGCACCGCGGGCGTCATCCGCGCGGGGGAGCTCCACACGGCGCGGCGGCGGCGGCGGCGGCGGCACAGCTCCGGCCGCGGTGTATTTTCTTCCTCTTCCCACAGCGGCTGTTCCGGGAAGCGCGCGCCCCCTCCTCCCGCCGCGCGCGCCCCCGCCCGCCGCCTCCCGCCGCCCGCGGGCGCCGCTCTTAAAGGGGCGATGGCGGGCGCGCGGGCGGGTCCCACCGCTGGAACCGCGGGCCGGCGCACGCGCAGGGCGTGTGTGTGTGTGTGTGTGTGTGTGTGTCCCGTATGTGTGTGTGTTGTGTGTATGTGTGTATGTGTGTGTAGGGCGTGTGTGTGTGTAGGGCGTGTGTGTGTGTGTGTGTGTGTGTACACGCGCAAGGTGAGTGTGTGTGTGGTGTGTGTGTGTCTCTGTGCACGCGCGCGCGCGTGTGTACACTCGCAAGGCTAGTGTGTGTGTGTGTGTGTGTGTGTGTGTGTGCAGGGCCCGTGTGTGTGTGTGTGTGTGTGTGTACACGCGCAAGGCTAGTGTGTGTGTGTGTGTAGTGGCCCGATAGCATCTCGGGACACACAGTGGGACACAGCTGATTAAGATTATTTGTGAGCGCACGCGCGCGCGCACACACACACACACACACACACACACGCACGCACGCACGCACGCGCTCCTCAGATAGGACCTGCCACCCAATTTACACCCCCGGGAACACAGCCACACAGTTGCAGATACGATCTCAGACCCAGGACACATGCAAATCCCACAGACACTGGAACAACTCCTCTCTGGGCAGTCACTGAGTGTATCACCCCGCAGGGCTCCCACACTCACCCCCAGGAGCGTGCTGGCACACAGCGGTGTGTGCAGAGCCCGGCAGTGGCTGGCACAGAACGGGGGACACGTCCCACTCTCACATGGCACAGCCGCCAGGGCTCTGACAGCCGGGGAGGAGCCCGCAGCAGCTATTCCCACTCACCGGAGCTCCGTTTGTCCCGGCTTCCGGAGGGCTTTGTCCTTGGACCTGCGGCATCACCAAGCCCGTGGACACCACAGCCACACACACCACACACCACACAGCACAGACATACCGCATGGACTAGCCGCTCCGGGGGTACACAGGCCAACGCCTAAGGGCCATCGTGCACTGCTCCACAGTCACACTGTTAACAGTAGGTGCTGGGTGACTGTCCACTGGGCCACCGCTGGCAGGCCTCTCAGTGTTGCCAGCTGTGGTAAATGAGGCTCGAACCACCTTTAACTGTCCCTCTGCAGGAATGAAGGGTGCAGTCAGTGGGTGCCCCCTCCCCCTCCTGGGCCCTTCTGTCCGCAGGGGGCATGCAGAGGAGAGGGGCAGACCCTGAGACAGGGACACCCTCGGGCAGCAGTGCCTGGGCCCAGGGGAGGCCTGTGGGCTGTTAGCGGACCTGTGGGGGGCGGGGTGGGGAGGGGACTGGAGGGGGAGGGACGCAGCGGTCCAGTTGTGTGAGTCCAGGTCTGGATGCTTCTATGACTGTTTGCCATGGGTGTGTGTGTGTGGGTGTGTGTGGTGGTGTTGTTTTGCTATGCAACAACCGCGAATGTGTGTGTTCCCGTTCCTGTGTGAGCACACGTGTGCATCATTGCGCCTGGGTGTTGGCAGGCACACAGTGAACGGCCCGGTGGTGTGTGTGTCTGTGTGTGTGTTGGCGATGGTGTGGAGCCGAGTGATGCAGCGTCAGGTTGTGTGCACTTGTGTGTGTGCGCGCGCGTGTGCCTCCACGCGTGGGTGGACGGGGACCTGTGTTGTGTGCTTGTGCACTCGAGCTTCCTGTGTCGTATGTTTGTCTTGATGGGGACGCCCCCTCCCGCTGCCTGCGGAACCCCCATTGTGCCTCCCTCTTTGAGGCCGCCGGCCACCACGCAGGCCCGCAGGCGGGTGGGGGCGGGAAGCGGGGGCCCCTGGGGTTCCAGACGGGCACGGAGGAAGGGAGGGCCAGGCCGGCCCCAGCCCCGCCTCCACCCCCCCGAGGGGCCCCGGCCGGGAGGGACGGGTGGGGGGGGACGCCGGCCCTGCCCATTTCCTGTCCAGCTGGCCGTCCCCTCCCCCGCTTCCTCTCCGCGGGCCTCCCGGGCCCCGCCGGCGCGGAGGAGGGGCCCCAGCTCCGGGCTGATGGGGCTGCGGCCAGCGTTCTTGCGTCTCGCCTGGAGATGGGGGACTGGACAGCCCCTTCCCAACGCCCAGTCCCACCTCCGATCTCCAGCGCCTGCTCCCCAGGAGCGCACAGAAAGGGAGTCACACCGCGTGGTGACAGCTGAGACCTCCGGCCCCGCACACGCCCCCGGCGCCCCTCCCCCTGTTTGTCTCCCAATGCCCGCGGCTCCCCGGGGTGCTGTGTGCCCTGGGCGGGTCCCTCGTCCTCTCTGAGCCTCGGCTCCTGGAGTCACACGGTGTTTACTGAGCGCCTGCTAGTCCCCGGTTCCGGGACTCACTGCCCGGGGAGCGGAGGGTGCGATGGGGCAGGGGAGGAGGAGGCGCCGGAGGGTGGGGAGGATCATTCCACGGAGAGCCACGTGCTGGGCGGGGGGCGGGGTGGGGGTCCCCGGGGTGGGCGGAGGGGCGGCCGGCGGCGGGGCAGGCCGGCTCTGGAGGAGGGAGAGGCGGGGGAGCCCGCCGCCCTGCGCTACGAAGGGGGAGGCGGGCGGAGCGGGAAGCGCGGTTCCCATGGCAACGGGCCGGCTCTGCAAACAGCCCTGGCGCCGGCGGAAAAGCCCCGCAGAGGCGGGCGCCGGGCCCCACCGGCGCCGGGGAGGCTGAGCTGCGCGCACGTCCAGCCCGGGACACGCGTGGCAAGAGCAGGAGCTACAGAAAGAGCCCCCCACCCACCCAAGGGAGGGAGGCCTGGGAAAACGGTTTTTATTGAGGGTGGAGGTGGATTAGAAAGATCTGGAAGCAGAAGGTTCACCCTGCAGTCAGTCACAGCAAGTGCAAGTGCCCCGAGGTGGGCACAGCGTTCAAGTGTCGGAGGCGGAGCGAGGCGGGCCGTGTGCTCCCTGGAGCGGGGGAGAGGGGGGGGGGAGCGAGGGCAGAGGAGCCAGGGTTGGGGTTTGTTCCAGAGAAATACTGAGCTGTGGAGCACCTGGGGGCTGCTTTTAAGAAGCCGCTTGATGCCGGGACCGGTTTGGCTCAATGGATAGAGCATCGACTTGGGGACTGAGGGGTCCCGGGTTCGATTCCTGTCAAAGGCTTGTACCTTGGTTGCAAGCAGATCCCCAGTGGGGGGTGTGCAGGAGGCGGCTGATCGATGACTCTCTCTCATCTGATGTTTCTAACTCTCTGTCTCTCTCTCTTCCTCTCTGTACAAAATCAATAAAAATACATATATATATATAAAAAACATTAAAAAAAAAAAAAAAAAAGAAGCCACTGAGGCCGAGCGGGACGGGAAGGCTCGAAGGAAGCAGGGAGCTTGCCCCGGGAAGAGGCCTAGGTAGCAGGGCCATGGGCCAGGCCAGGGGCCCAGGAGCGGGTCCTAAGCAAGGAGGTGAAGGGTCAAGACTGGACCCCAGGGGCGGTGGGGGGGCAATGGGGGAATAAGGACACATTTTTAATACCTTAATAAAGTGGGGGACGAGAGAGAAACAAAAAAGGACTGGATCCCAGACCTGCGACCCCTTCGCAGTCTAGGGCCCATCCCTGTGTGGCCGAGTGCGAGGACTGCAGCCCTGAGCTGGGTCTCAGTCTCTGGGGACCCTCACGACACCCCTCCCCCCATTCCTCACCGCGGGGTGTGTGTGGGGGGCAGGTTCTGCTTGTGAGGTATGGGGGGGGGGTGCCTGGAGGAGGGGCCTTCCCTCCCCTCATTCACTTCCTTCCAGCCCCTCCATTCTCAGACCCTTCCAGGGCCCACCTCCTAGGCTTTGCACTGGCTGCTCTTGCAGCCTGGAACTTGCCCTGGCTCCAGGCCTGGCCTATTCTGGCTCCTCCTTTGGCCTTTGGTCCCAGCAGTTCCTCCTTCTCTCCCCTTTCCCCCTCTGCTGCCCCCTTCCCCTCTTCGCCTCCCCAGGCCATATCCTCCATGGTACGGGTTCCACACTAGCCAGTATGAGACTTGTCTCTGCTGATGGAATAATGCGCCCAGTAGTCTGTCTGCAGCTCTGCCTCTCTCTCTGGACGGGCCCTCCCGGCAGGCCCAGCTGTCTGGCTGTGAATATGTGGCCAGAAGTGGTAGGGAAGGCTGATTTGGGGTTTTCCCTAATTTTTTTTCTCTCCACAGGAGATGGAGGCCCCGTTCTCATTAACGTGGGAGGCTCGGGGTGGGGCCAGGATCCGGGCTGGCGGCCCTGCCACGGAGGGCCCCAGCTGGGAGCAGGGTCTGCACCAGGAGGCATTTCCTCTCTGAGCTGTAATTATGGGTAATTTTCTAGCTGCAACACAAAAATTAAAACCCAAACACCAGGGAGGAAGAAGCCGCAGCAGCTGGTGAATATGGGTGGTGGGTGACGGTGCTGAGGGGTTGGGTAGGGGTTCCAGCCCAGGGGTGCTGGTGGAGGGGGGGAGGGGCACAGGCCAAGGGCTATTCAGACAGCACAGACTTCTTGGAAAACCAGCAACTACTTAGAGTCTCAGGTTACTGAAATGGGGAGTACACTCCGAAACTGGTCACCTCGAGGCAGAAGTCCCCAGTGGGGGATCTGGGCCTGGGTTTGAACCCTGGCTGTTCTGCTGTGTGGACTGGAGCAGGAGCTGACTGAACCTCAGCCCAGCCAGTCCACTGCCCTGCTTCCAGCACCTTCTGTGATTCCCACTGCCCACAATTTTAAGTACCTGCCCTTCTGCCTTGCACTTGAACTTTAGAGTCAACCCAATCAGTAGGAACCTGTGCATCCAGCACCTCATGAGAGAGGCAGCGTTTCTCTTTCCCATGTTGCAGATGAGGAAACTGAGGCTCGGAGGGGCGCCAAGGGAGTCACGTGGGCAACCCAGAGGCAGGACTCCACCCACTGACATGCCCCCAGCTCCCTGCCTAGGCCTGGGACACTCACTCTGGGATATTGGAGGCATTTTTGTGAGAACCTCAGGCCTGGAGGGAGGGGGAGAAAAGGGAGAAATGGTGGTGGGGGAGTCTATCGCAGCTGCTGACAAAGTTCTGCAGATAAAATAGGCTCAGAGCA